ATTGGAAATATCTGGTGCTAAAGAATTTCCCATGGCTAGGCCTGAAATCTGATTAAAGAATTTTCCTTGGAAGGTGAGGTATCCGGATCTGCAACAAAGCTCAAGGAATTCAAGGTATGAGGAGAGGTTGAGGGTGGTGTGAGGTTCGATGATTGTCCAGTTTTTCTGTACAATGTGGAAGGCTTTGTCTATTGGGATGTTGGTAAATCAGCTTTCAGCGTTTAGGAAACCAAGGATGAAGTTTCAGGAATATGGAGAGAAGATAACTCTTCTTTAAGGTGGAATGAATTATTAATGTCATAAGGATTATTGTGGCTAAGTTTTTGGAGAGAGAGTAAAAGGAATTTGCTGAGTTTAGCTGAGAGGGCGTTTATATTGGCGATGATAAGGTGGAGGGGATTTCCAGGTTTGTGAATTTTTGGGAGTCCATATAAGTGGGGTGCTAAGGAGTTGTAGGATAAGAGATTGTAGTAAGTGGGACGGTTAATTTGTTTTGTCTCAAATAAGTTTATAACATTTAGATACATTTTAAATCTTATAAGTGAAAAATAACTTATATATTACATCGTATTATTTTTATCTACTTTCAATTTTTATTGATTAATTCAATTTAATTGTTCATTATTCTAAGTATTTCCGCTTTGTATGATCTCTCTTTTATTTTATTTTAATTTTATATTTACATTCTACATCAATGTATGATCATCCGTTTTCACTTTGTATTCATTTTACTTTTTAACCATGTCTCAATATTATCTAATATTTAAATGTAATTTTCTTACATATGTACAACTAAATATAATTATAATTATTCATATTTTTTTCCTCTCTATACTTCTAAATTAGTTCTGCAATGTATGGTCTCTTATTTCTATATTTATATTTTACTTCTATGTACGTTTTACTTCTTCCATTTTTGTTTTTATTCACATTGTACTCTTATCTATAATCTCTTAATTCTATTTTATATGTATATGTATATATTTATAATTTATTATTTCATAGATATAGTATTTTTTCCCTTGTATCCATCCATATCTTCAAATTTTAGATACTGTAATTTTCAAGGTTTTTTTTCTCCATTTACCCAAACAGGTCAGCAAATTTCCCTAATACCTACCCTTACCCTGATTTTTCAGTTCTAAGTGAAACTCCTAGCTGAACACACCTGTAAGTCTCTATTTTTATTCTTCTAATTTTATATATTTATTTTTTGTTTTTTTTCTTTTCTTTCTCCACATTCCTTTATGTCTATTATTTCATATTATATCTTTTTTCCTTTTCTTTCAATCTCTCCTGTAGATCTGTAGAAGTATATTCACATTTGCATATATTATATATTACACTACAACAATTGTTACCATCTATTTACTTCAGTTTAGGATCTTGTTACTTAGCTTACTCTGTTTATATTAAAGGCATTGCCCTCGAATTATTCTTGTGTTTTCTTGTTTATTAACATCCTACCTAATGGTACTAAATGGTAATTATGATGAGGAACATTTTAGAACCCTTAGGTTAATGGTATTAATATGTTCCTCATCATAATTCTAAATTTCACTTTCAGACTTTTGTCCCACTAGATTTGTAATCAGCCGCACAATGTGTCGTTCCATAGTTGTTTTAATTAAACTGGTTTCTGTATCTGTTTAAATTAATCTGCTTTTCTGCATCTGTTGTGGAAAGCTGTGTATATTAAACAGATTTGTTCAGTGTTTCTCTCTTCTCCCATCTGTATCGTTGTCTCCACCTCCTAGCTTATACTGTGAGTGTCTCCGGCAAGTTCCTAAACTCAGCGCTGAGCTGAGGGCCTCACTTTGCCCAGTTTAGAATCTTACCCAATACAAGGATAATTTTAGCATTGAGTTTAGAAACTTGTTCCATCCATTATCATGTATCTTTTTAATTTTGATTGAAACAGTTGACTGTATCTGTTTAACAAAAGAAACTGTTTAAAATGAACAGATTGCTACTAAACATCCCACCACTACATGAAATATTAATTGATCAGTTTCTGTAAGCAGTTCTTTATTGGTCTTTCTCCTCTAAGCATTAGTACTCTGATTCCAGATCGCTCCAATTATCATATGGAACATTTCTCTCTCAATACTGTCAATATTTCTAAATAGGATGCTGATTAGTGTCCAGATTTCGCAGCCATATATCAGAACTGGCTTTAGCATAGCATTGTACACTCTTAATTTGAGGTTTCAAAGGTTTTTCAGGATCTCAAGGGCCTCTGAAAGAGATAAGAAAGCTCTGTTTACGCTTGTTGTACACTAGTCTATTTCTGACCATTGGTCATTCATTGAGGTTATTGTGGAGTCGACGTATTTGAATTTGTCTACTCTCGGGAATAGTTTCCCTTGACAGATCCTGTTATTTTTGTATAATTTTCAGTTTATTATCTTATGTTTAGCATTATCTTCATTTATTTGTAGGTCAATTCGCTCTATTTCTCTTATCAAAGCCACAGCGAGTTTCTTAATGTCCTCTTGGTTGCTTTCAAGAACAGCCATATCGTTTGTCATTGAGAAACTTCAGGAAATGTTCTTTCTGGATGCTCAATATCTTCTCTTTAGATGATGTCAGGAAGCCATTGTTTCCTTGCATTTGTATATATACATACACAAATTTTTTTCTATTGATTTCTGTTTTATCTGTATCTGTAAGAACATGAAGTGAATGTAACTAATGTGATAGATACTCCTAGTTTTTTTTTAGTTGTGTACACAAATATTGTATAAAATCTCTTTGAAACAAATTTTAGATATAATTTAAAAATATTTACTTCTTACAAACGATTTTTCTGATTAATTGTGTTCTATTAAGTAGGTTTAGAAGGGGATTTGAAAAATGTGGCAAGGTTAAGTACCCATGGTTAGGGGGGAGGATAAAGTTGATACTTTTTAGGATGAGGTGGAGGAGGGAAGGACTGCACAAGAAAACACTTGAATTTGAGTGCAGCCAACCTTAGCTACTGATTGAAAGATGGTATCGTAATCTTCTAATTTATGTATGAAAAACTGAGACAAACACCATGGATAAGAGTTTATCCTATTGTAAAACAATATTTAGAAAATGGATAATCGGATAATATAAATAGTAAATAACTCATAAAACTCCAGCTGCAACTTGAACATTTTATACTGAGCTCTGAGAACTCAAGCTTCTTTGGCTCATGTTGAGAAAGCTGAAGCCTTTAGAGCTCGGTCCTCATAACCTTCTGACTGAGCTCTTTTACAACACTAGCATAGTAAATGAGTTGGTCAAAGTCCCAATTTAGGTGGACGAAACTCACATTCACTGACAAGAGAATCATTGGGGTCACTGATTTCAATGAAAATATTTTTGGAGATACCAGGACGAAAAATATTAGATCCATGTCTGAGAGTTTATGCAAATGCACCTTAGGAGCCAAGAAAATAAATATTCTACATAATTATACATTTTTTTAATTTTATTGTTTTACGCCTTTACTCTGCATAGATTTCCATGTAGTAATATATCAATCGATTTTTTTTTAATTAGAAAAATGTGTTGCTTTTAAATATATTTAAATGTAAAATAAATTACAAAAACTCGAAAGTGGCTTCCAGTAAAGTAGGTCAGCTAAGTTTTTGTCATGAGAAAGAAATTCAGATTCCTTTCAAGCGTCTTTAAAAACTCTTAAATATGAATTTGTTAATTGAACTATTAAATTGGGTTCGCTCTAATCTGATTTTACCCCTCCTATCATCCCCTCTGATGTTGGGCCTAAATTATGTAGGATATGAATATAACACGGGTTTTAATTTTTGTCTCAGATCTGTGGAACCACCGGAGTGACCGCCCCATTGCCATACCCATGTGATGAAATGGATCGAATCTTTTTTTTTATTATTGGATTATCCCCTACCCACTATTTCTGGCATATGGGAGGGGAGAGGGTTGTTCTAGAGGTACAACCAAACCTATTCTAAACAGAGGGAGAAAGTCGAGTTCCATTCCGTGGGTCCGCCACGAAATAAAAGTCAACTCTTCTGAGGCTGGATTCGAACCAGCATTGCTAGGCATGAGAATGCTACAACTGACAACACTCCATCACTTGGCCATCACGACCTCTCTGGAATGGATCGAACCAATTTTGTTTCCTTTTAACAAAAACATGTTGACCAGGCAATCCATGGCTAAGGTGAATATCATCAAATATTAACTTTCTCCCTGAAAATATCTTTACTGTAAATACCGGGCCAGTTATGTTATATTAGTCAAATAATAGTATGGCTATAATATTAAAACAAATTGGACCAAAAGACAGCAATGTGGGGATAAATAAATTTAGTGAGAAACTAAGTTGAAATTTGTTGTTTTGCATCTCAAAAATTCCTTAAATAATAATTTTTATAGCTATAGAAAAGTACAAATTTTTCTTACAAAGTTTGTCTAGGTTGGTATAGACTCTTCGATATTTTTTTTACCATAAAAACAAAGTGATAATTTCAAGAAGACTCTAGCAACCCATTCAAAAATTATCAGTGATTTAGGGCCCAATAGACTATATATAATGGCCCAATGCCAATCTCCATAAACAAATTAGAACCAAGGATATAAAATAAGATTTTTTGAGAGGTTTTTCTTAATTTCAAGCCTTGAATGGAATGAAATCCAAATGTTATTAATGTAGATTGGCAGGCGGTTGGTTATTTAGCTTTTCAGTGGTTGTACTATCATTGAATTTGGAGAAAATTCTGAGAAGTTATGAATACTTTGGTTAATGCCGGGAAACAATTCTGCATATTTGGGAATTTTTTTTTTTAATTTTTGAGGTATAAATTTAATTTTTTTTATCTCAGTCCCATGTCTTTCTAGTGCAAAATTATTCTTCCTGCGTTAGAATCTTGCTTTCTTATGAATAATTATTTTTCAGTTCCATTGAAATAATGCTAAAATAGAAGTTTTGTTTTTTAACATTGATTTTAGTAAAAATTATATAGATAATAATGACGTCTTTGTTATAGAGTGAAAGATATTGACATTGAGGATGATCAGGGTTGTATCTCTCCCCCTTGTTGTAATAATAATGTATTGATACTTCCACAAAATGATAGTACTTTTACAAAAAAAATTTGTGGTCATAATTTGACTATAAAGCCTATTCAGGTTTCTCATCTGGAAACTAAAATAATATTTCAAGCTTCAAGAAACAATGTCCAATCTAGAGGATTTTCACTCTCATATAATATTGAAAACTTCAACCCAGGTAAGTACTCAGTAACTGTTTAAAAAACAACCAAATCTTGCTTGTTATTAAATAATAACTTCTGATATATAATCCTAATAAATATGGTATTTTTGCTTAAAATGTATCATTATTATTTTTTTTGTTTTTAATTACTGTTTATTTCGATTCAGCACATATATATTGTATGAACGGATAGATACCTTTTAGTGTTAGCCCTTATACTTATTACCACCTAGTATGGCATTGATTACTGTTCAATAAAAAAATATATATATTGTAATTTAACCATTGAAAAGAGCTTTTTTTCTTTATATGAAATCATTTTACTTTTTTTCTGTTTTGCCATTTACTATTTATCTAAGTAGTTTATTCTCTCACTTCTCTTGAAGTGTAAGGTGTTTTCTTCTACAGTCTGTTTCAAGTTCCATGATCCTCATATTTTTTATTCCACCTGTTCAAATAATCTTTATATATCTTCCAAAGCACTCCCTTTCTCCTTTCTTATAAATGGGCCAGAGCTTTCGTCTTGATGGTTCCCCATTAACATTTAGCTTTGTATGTTATCCTAACAAGATTATTTCATTCTTCAAATGTGCTAGCTAATGCTACAAACTACTTTAGACAATAGAATCAAAGAATCTTTTTTTTTTTTTTTTTTCATTTATTGATGATATTTACAACTGTATTACAAGTAAAAATACATTCAGTAAATGTGAACAAAAGAATATAATAGCATGAAATCATTTGTTGAGAAACTACCCACTGGTAGCACTCTAAAAATGTATTTACAAAAGGAGATCTCGAGGCCATCTTCTTTTCAGACGCCTCGGAGGGTTGTCAGGGATCGAAAAGGAAGCAAGGTTAGAAACGAGAGGGTTAGGATGGTTCTGAAGTTTTACGAAGGATTTTGGATTGTAAGGATTGGATACGAGAGGAATTCGATGGCTTAGTGGAGCCCCAGAGCTCAATTCTGTAAGTCCAAATAGGTCTTATTGTAGTCATGTATATGAGTCTTTTGTAATTGACTGGGAGCTTAGAGCGTTTGTCTAGTAAGTGCTGGAGTAGTCGGAAACGTCGAGCTGTTTCTTGTCGTTTCAGTCTGGTATGAGGATTCCAAGTTAGTCGTTTGTCTAAGTGGAGTCCAAGGTATCGAATTTGTTCAACAGGGATAAGTGGGGTATTATTAAAGGATACTGTAGGACAAGAGGACATAGGTTTACGACGAAGGGTAAAGGTGATTTGATGGGATTTATTGGAATTTATTTTGATCCTCCAGTTTTGAAACCATTCTTCAAGGTTTTTGATGTGTGATTGAAGGGTCTGGGATGCAATTGTTGGGTCGTTATTAATTGATAGGACACATGTATCATCGGCATACGTGTTAATGACAGTGTTAGGATGGGTTGGGATATCAGCTGTATAAAATGATACAAGTGTAAAGGATAGGACCTAGGATACTAGCTTGAGGAACACCAGCGGACTGGGAAAAAAGGGATGAATAGGCATTATTATGATTTACTTTGAAGGATCTATCAGTTAGATAGGAACGGATAATGAGGAAGTATGTAGGGTGTAGGAATTTACGGAGTTTGTAAAGCAGTCCTGGGTGCCAGACTCGATCAAAAGCCTGTTCTACATCGAGAAAGACTCCCGTGCAGCACATTCCGCGCTCCAATGCAGAGGAGACAACATCCACCACACGATGGCATTGCTGGATAGTGGAATGGGATCTGCAGAATCCAAATTGATGATCTGGGATAATGTGATTAGAATCTAGGATGCAGGCGTTTTAGGATGAGCTTTTCCAGGATTTTGCCTAGGATGGGTAAAAGGGAGATAGGGGGATAGGAGGATGGGTTTTCTGGTGGCTTTTTGGGTTTATGTATCATTTTGATAATAGATAATTTCCAAGGGTCAGGAAAGTATGTGGATCGCAGAACAGCATTATATATATATACGTAAGGAATAGGATGGCTTTCCGAGGAAGCAGTTTTAGGATCTGGGATGTAATTAGGTCGTGTCCAGGAGCTTTTCGGGAAGGTAACCTTTGAATGATGTCGGATATAATCAAAGAATCTAATCTAATTTTGTATACTTCCTTATATATACCCTGTATTCAACTTGGTATATAATATACCATTTATTCGGTTGGTGCTACTAACCTTGTAGATCTTTGACCACGAAATGTGGTCTTCTATACCACATCCCAATTTCTGATTTAAGTACACGGGAGTAGGGTCGACAGTTCTACGTGATCAATCATCAGTGTGAGTTGCCTCCAGTAGGCTGACAGACCTCACAAACCGGGGGGGGCGGGGGGTCTCAGGCAGCATGGCTTTCCCTGGTGGACGGTCACCCATCCAAGTGCTAACCATGCTCGGCGTTGCTTAACTTGGTTACCTATTGCAAGCACCTTAGCCCGCACGGCTACCCCAATCCAATATATATATACAATATAATTGTCAGCACCTCTTTTAAGAAAGAACCATGTCTGGAAATGATCACCAAATCATCAGCATACACATATATTTGCCACATCTGATATTAATTATATTACCAGTTTTGACTGCTTCATGAAGAGCAATATTAAACAACCTAGCAAACAGTGTATTCCTATCATAACCTTTGAGTATACATTGTACATGGATAAAGTCAACTGAATCATTTTTATCAGCTTACATGGAACTTTATTTTTATATAACATATATTAATTAAAACTTTCATGTTCACTCTATCAAATGTTTGTTTATAATCGATGAAGAGAAAGTGCAAGTCATTAACAAGTAATGTTAATGTTGTTATCAAGCAATGTTATAACTCATATCATTTTTCCATAACTGTCCAATTATAAAAATTTGATCTGTGATGCTCTTCCCGTATCTGAAACCACATTGGTAATTTTGTAACATTTCCTCAGTGTGAACCAAGTCTTTTTAATACAAGGCATGATAGTATCTTATAAGGGATTCCAAGCAGGGTTATTCCTGTATAGTTCATGCAATGCTCTTTATCGACTTTCTTGAATATAGGTCATTTTAAGCTTCCCCTCCAATCATAAGGTATTAGTTTGCTATTCCATACTGTACAGATAAGATCATATGTGCGACCAATCATTTGAGCTGAACTATTTTTAATTGATTCGGTAAATACGCTGTTCTCACCGGGGTCTTTATTGTTCTTCGAGGAACAAATAACATATTCCATTTCATTTTTTGTAGGTAATCGACTGAAAGTATGCTGCTCGGTTATGAGTCTCCATTTTCAATACCCATATGGTATATACTTTTATGTTCATGTTCATCACTATTGACAGAGTCATTCTAGGCATTTAGTACATTTAGAATCTTCAGAAAATGTCCTATCCATCTCCTGATCGTTGCTGCTTCTCTCTATATCAGCTTCCCCTCTTTATCCTTACATCCATGTAATTAGGTTAATACCTTTTGTGAACTAATTGGCTGCCTTGTAAAACTTTCTGCTTTCATTTTCTTCCTTGGTTCAAGGATTCAATTTCCTCAATTTTCTTCTTTTTGTTTTTACATATTCCATTAACAGCTCTATTTAATGAATGGTCATTTTCCTCATTCTGTCTTGTGTTGCATTTCTTTGTAACAGCTTCTTCTGGGCCATTGCTATCCTACATAAATATCTTTGTACTCCCTTTTCTCACATTATCATCTCTTACTAATAATTTACTGGTAGTTCAAAAATAAAATACAATTGCTGTTATGCTGTATTTGTCTGCATTTAATAGAATGCTTGTCAAAGAAATAACTATAACATATATATTTATTATGTGAGCATTATATATACAAATTTAATATTATTGAAATTTTGAATTGTTATTTTCAATTTATTTACAATTTATACTAGGCTGTCTGTCTCTTCTCTTTCATTGCTTAAAGTGAACTGTGATACTTCTCTTATATAAGGATGTATGTCTCATAGAATTTATACTGTTATTGTTTAATAACTATATTTTCTTACTATGAATCAAGTGATTATATGTTAATTTCATTAAAAATATGTATGTAATATTGACCGATGTTTTTTAAGCCAGTTTCAAAATCCTTCTTCTTTCTCTTCCTCTTTGGGCCTATTGGGAAGACCTTGAACCAACATTTTTCTGTCCATAACTATCCATCAGTTTTCCTGTTTGCTGCTCAGCTGCTTCATTTCTGCAAAGGTATTGCCTCTGTTACCTCTAGCCTTTTGGATATATTCCTGATAGGAGATTCTTGACCAGCCACACAGTCTCCTACGTGTAGGTCTGGCTTCCTGTGTCCTTCTGGGTTCTCTCTCTTTATCTATTTGACAAACACGTCCAAATCATAAAGATTCAAAATCTACCCTATAGTTTTCCTTATTTTATTATTTTCTGTAATATTTAATACTTTTATATTGTTTAAATCAATTTTGTGATTATTTATTATTCTATGATTTGATAATGCTGTTGTTTTTATTTTTAACATTTGTCCTCTTAAAGAAAGCACCTTAAAAATATATTAGAGATTACATTTTGAGGGATAACATTGATGTATATTATTCAGACACAAATTAATTATTAATCTTTTTGCATTCAAAGGTTCAATTATCAAACACGTTACACGCTGTAAATAGAAAATAAGTATATTAAAGATAACTTAGAGATAATTATGGTTTATTTTATCCTTATTTCTTCCTATCTTATTCTTCTTGATAATAATTAGTAGTATAAAATTTCAATTTAATTATATCTTAGCTACAAAACATATATATTTTAGTTTATTTTAGGTTAAAACTATTAATTTTCAAAACATCTCTTAATTAGTGCATACCTTATTCAATAGTCAATGGTTTGTAGGTTTATGTGAGCCAGATCAAGCCCTATGCAATTCGAACTCTAAGCATTGTTTTTCTCCAGCATTGGAACGCTGTGATGGCATTTTTAACTGTCCTAATGGCGAAGATGAAGCGGGATGTGGTAATTTACCATCTTTTTATGTAGGTAATTTTTTTGTTTTAATTCAAGCTGATTAACCTGATTTTGTAAACAGGAATATTAAGTCACCCAGTTCATTTATCAAATAATTGTATGAGTCCATCACTTTGGTGTGAAGGAAACTTTATTTGTGATGGTAATAATCATCAAGAAACTTGTTTAAAGGTATGTTTAAGTTTATTTTTCTGTATATATTTTTTTATCGTGTGTGTGTGATATTTGTATGACAGAAAGTTATATTAACTAGTATTAAGTTTGTAATTACGTATATTTTAATTACACTTTATGTAGGGAGATTATAATAGTTCAGTTTTATATTTTTTAAAAGTTTTTTTATTATTATCAGTGATCCATGATACGTAAAAAATTGGTGATAAGGAAGAATCAGGTATTTATTTAGTGTTATCTTAGATATTAATTGTTAATTTCGAAATGGATGCAATTCCAAAAACTTTTAACCCACGAGCAGGTGCACCATTTTTGATTACATGAGTAGGCAAGCGTTGCATTTAATCTAACACTCATTTTTCTACAGTTTAGCAAATATTTTGTTTTGTTTAAATTAACAAATTGAATCTTATATATTAAAAAAGATATTTTTTATTAATATTTGAATTATTGATGTTTTTAAATAAATATTAAATGAGTAGGGTTTGGTAAAAAAAATTGAAATTAATACAAGCATTTTTAATTTATTATAAAATGTATACAATAATGTTAATTAAAATAATAACAGCTAAATTAAAAAACTTTAATTAAAGTTATTTATACGTACAAGTCCAAACAAATCATTTGATTATTGGCTTTTTCTAGACTTTTGATTTCTTTATCACATTTTAAGTTCGTATTTATTGTTCTAACATGCTTTTTATAAGCAAACTTCATGCATGTTCCGCATGTTATTGTTATGCAAATATTTTTATTGGCCTACATATGTGACATGTTCCACTTTTGTTGTGGTTCTGAAGTTTGAGGTTCTGGAGATCCATATTGTTCTTGGAGTAAAGCTTGTATAATCGAAGGCAATGAATGAATTTTAGATGACAGTTTTAGCTGAGGTTTCATGAGATCCATACTTTTATGGATGCTAATATTGATCCATGCTAATACTTTTATAAATATATTCCACACTGTTGAGCATCTTTTATATTTTGCTGGGTGTGTAAAATATGGATGTTAATTCCTGCAATGTTTAACATTGCACAAAAAAAGCATATTGACCAAAGTTTTGTTATTCTTGATACTGAATAGTTTTTTATCATGTCGTCCATAGAGTCTACCACTCCCTTTATTTGATTATAATCAAAAATGGATTTCAACAGGCTAATGTAAATAATAATGTAATTACCTATGGTATTTTTATAATAATAACAATATATAAAATAATAAGAAAATAGTGCTTATATTTTGTATTTTAGCAATGGTGTGAATTCAGGATTATACCAGGTACACTAGTGTGTGTGTGTTGGTTTGTATGCAATAAGCAGACATTTACCAATGAAAATTCAGGTGACAACTGGATTTGCAAACATTTTCCAAAACAAATTCAACGATCTTGATGATAGAAGAGGATATTTTTGAGAAATACCTATGAGGTGAAGGCCCTAATGTTACTGAAAGAGTAAAAGAAACCTAACTGTGTCCAGCTGTTGCACTTAATGCTCCCGCTCGTGGGTTATCCATTTTCCATAAACGGCAGAAAACATTCTCAACATAATTAACTGCAGTTTCAATCAAGTTGTGTATGGGATATTTCCGTTAACATTTCACTATTTAAACATTTTTATCCACATAAAGAAAATATTAATTGCTATTTAGAAAGGTTCAGAAACTACTTTACAATGAAAAGTGTCACTGATAAAATTAAATTTGTATGTGTTTCCACAGGATCTACTCATTATAATAGTGTAATTGCCCTGATAAGCCTATAAATAATCTTGTCTATGATATGTTAGTGAATTCTTTTAATAAAATGCTTGTTCCATGTAAAAGTATTGTTTCACAAAATTATTTCTTAACCAAATCAACAAGACAGATAATCATTTGTTTAATATTGGCTACTCTTAGAAGAGATTTAGCCGATTGTGAGCTTAAAGCTAAATATGAATGTACCAAAGTGATTTTAGAAATCAAAATTTTGAAATGAGCCTTATTCATACATGGATTATAAAATAATGATTGAGAAAAATGTTGAAATTTTTGATGATTGTGGCAAGGGGTATTTACTCTTCAAGCATTTAGGAGTTAAGAAATTAACTACAAAAAATTAACTTTGATGGCTGTATTGATGCCAATAAATTAATTTCTAACAGCAATGGGTTGCACTTCAGAATTTCAATTAAAACATTTATAAAAACATCAGTTTTAACTGAGTCCATTACATCCTCCTCCCACCTGAGAAAGAACACTCTATAATTGTTCCTTACAATTCAAAAATTAAAAAAAATCAGAGGAACAGTCCTCAATCCTTTAACTTCCAAGTATCTTTAAAGTTCTACTACTGCTTGTCAGTCTACCACTTAGAGGTATCATTCACTTCCTCAATGTTGCTATTAGAGCAAAATTTGATCTATGTTCCTCCAGAGCTGGTAGATTTACTATCATCTCCTGTGGAAATAAACTCTGCACTGTTCTTATATGTTATCCTTTTGATGTCTTTAAACGGACTGGTCTTGTCTCCATCGTTTCCAAGAATCAGCTCAATGATTTGAAAGGCAACTCAATTCTTTTAATTGATTATCTAGAGTCGGACTATCTAGAGTCATTGCCTGCTAAAATCCTTGGTTTAAAAAAAATATAATAATATGAGCGCTCTGTTTGGAAATCAAACACTGTGAGGCTACAGACAATTTATATCTTTTAGTAATTGAACCTTTTGATCCAACAAATTTTTCTTTAAGATCACTCTTTTTCATGTTGTAATTAAAAGAAAGGATATAATTTTTCCATTTAAGTTCTAAAACTGACATTACCTTAGATGGAAGGTTAGAGACATTTTGAGAAACCACCTATGCTCTAAGATTGAACATGCCTTCCAATCTCAAACAAGAGGTCTCCTCTTTGATTTGGTTCAAGGAATTTTCATCATTCAGACTTATAACACAATTATCAAAATATAAAAGTTTAGCCAGAAGTTCTCTCTTGATAGTATGTAGGCTAAAACCCCCAGTTTTCAGCACCCCTAAGGAAACTTTAAAATGTATTTATCCGGTTTTCAATTGCATAGGTACATGGTTCAACAATTTTGGTTCTGTTAAGTCAGTAAAGATCTTTAATTTCAAAATATATATGTGAAACAGTGTCTTTCATTTATTTTATTTTTTTATAGTAAAACAAAAAATTAAAAATATCCATATGCGCCAGTCTTGGCACCATTTTCCAGTTTTTGTCACCTGTTACCCAATTTTTAAAAAGCTAAAGAATTAATCTGGCAGCTTTCAAAATGAAATAACTTCAATGATATTGTGCTGAAATGTTTACTACGTAAGTTGCTAAATACACTAAAACAAAAATTAAACAGGAAGAAGATAAATACCTACAATTAAATAGGAAAAAGGTAATTAAACTAAATAATTATTAAACAGAATACATTAAACCTTTAGATTTGATTTACTTATAAATTGTTTTAATTTTAAACTGTATTAATATTGTTCTGTTTTAAGTTTAAACAATTTAAACTTCATGGGCAGGATCTTTTTTTTTTTAACGTAACAACAAGCAATATTTCATTAAAAAGTAATTTGAAATAGGAATATAGAAACATTTTCATTACAAAATATTATATGACTAGAGATAATCAATATCATTAAATTAAATTGATATATAAAAGATGTATAATCAGTTTGCTACCTACTTCTGCCATAAATACTGTTAAAAAAGTTGAACTTTATTTACATCTTTGGGTATTATTTAGATAATCCTTACCTTTATCTGGTTTTATATGTCAGGATAATAATCCGAATTAGTTTGTATTTTTCTTTGGCTCAGTTAACATTGAGTGGGGTGATGAAGAAAACGAAATAGCTGTGATTGCCTTACACAAAGTTAGAAAATGTAGGTCAGAGATGTGGTTAAGGGTTATAGCATGTTTGGCTCAATGTAAATAAATTCTCGTATTAGTGCTTCTTTTCTTTTCTTTCTTTGTATATATATATATATATATATATATATATATATATATATATATATATATATAATTTACTGGTATGGAACCAGATAAAAACATTTCTTGTGATGACTCGGAGGAAGATACTCCCTTCTCCGAAATTAGTGAGGCTGATTCTCAATATTTAACAACACAAACTCTCCAAAAGTGGCACTGCTACTCTGCTCCCAGGTCGGTGGACACCTCACCGATTAAAATAATCCACTAAATCAAAGCAGACTAAAATAAACATTCAAATACTTCCAGTAAAACTGTTTCAGCTATTAACTTTGGAACTAAACCACCTGATAACACATCCAGCAACAATTCTGTTGCCGCCAACAATAAACCTAAAGAGAACTCTGAACCTCACACTTTCACTGAACCAGAGCCACCACCGATCTATGAAAGTAAAATAGATAATTTCATGCAGTTTGGTCAAGAAATAGCTGATCAGACAGACCAGCTTCCATTGTTTTTCTTGGGTAAATGATATAAAGATTAATACCAATACAAAATATAATTATAAGTAATTTGGTAAAACTTATTAATCACTTTACCGTGAACAACTATGACTTCCACTGTTATCAATTAAAAGAAGAAAAAATATATAGGGTGGTTTTGAGAGGTCTTCACATGACCATCCCCACTGCTGCTATAAAAAAATATATGGAAGATACAGGCCATAATGTAAGGCATATATCTTCAGTATTACATCCAACTGAAAAAATTCCACTTCCACTATTTTCAGTCGATCCGGAAACAGCTCTGAATAATGCGGAAATTTTTCAATTTAAAAGACCGGTGTATTAATCAGTATTTCCTTGCTAACTTCCTATACCAGGCTATTAGAACTCAGCGACCCTCCTGTATTCTACAGATCCTTCAATTCAAACACTCTTTTCAATCCCGTACGTCCGACCTCTATCCTCCTCCTCACCAAACTGCTGCATTTGACAAATTATTTTTAATTCAAGCTGTCTCCCTCTGGAATTTTATCCCTTCTGATATTCGACACGCA